TTGTGATAACTTAAATGCCTTCTATTGTTTTTTAAAATGTCTCTCGTTTAATAAATTTTATATGATTGTTTCCAAGTTAAAGCAATATGAGCTGCATTTTTGACAATTTTATTTTGCTGTTAAATTGCGTTGCATGATAAATTTGTTTGTAATATAAACCTTTATGTCAAGTTGATGATCAATTAGACTAAAATAAAGCAGAAGAAAGACTTCAAAATACAATCCAATATACTGTTTTATATAAGAAATCTTTATTATACAGGACGACAATAATGTAAATTTGATTCAATTGCAGCTTATAAATAGTGCGCCCATCGCAAATATGATGAAAAGAAGTTTATTAATGTTATTTGTTTTCTCTTATTGAAATAGTTATTTACAATTTTGCAACAAAAAATTCCGACATCAAAGTTGCAGCTAATATTGCTTTAAGGAATCGGTACTCAGGAAAAATTAAGTTTATGCTTCCTCTCGGTAGAAAACTAATTCCTTCTCCGCATCGGGAAATAGTTTCCTCCCTTGGAGAACCATGGACTTGCTATGTCACGAATACCCATAACTGCATAGTTATTTCCATCCATATGTCGACTCGATATGTCAAAAAACCAAGGTTTTATTAAAAAATACACAAGTTTGAATTCAAAATAAAAGTTTTTAATACATAAGATGTGGATTAAAAATATCCTATAATTCAATTCCACAATCAATTTTGTAGTCTTTGTAAAAATTTTAAGGCATTTGGTTAAATTTTGGCAGTTTCTCGAGCATTCAAAATAAGAAAGTGGTAAACACAACACACGAAAAATGGCGACGTTTTATGACGTTACGGAGTACTGGAGAGAAGTTCAGTTTTATTTCGATGTTGTAATGACATCTTTAGAGACTTGAAATGACAATAGAAGTAAAAAGATTATAAAAATATCCCCATATCTTAAGTATACAAATGAAATAGTTTTTTTACCTATGTCTTTTTGATCGAGTCCCTGGGGAGTACAAAACATACGGACAAACTCCTAAGGTAATAGCAAAAGACGCTGTCACAGTAGACCGCCGATATGAGATTTTCTATAAGTTGAATGATAGTGAGAATATTGTCCGTAACTTGCTAATAAATCTTCAGAAGATCGCATGAGGGTGCCAATTGTTTCTTCGGCTGTTTATTGAGACTAAAGAATGTGTATCAATGAAATTCCTAAATTTAAGTCGGACTCATCCAACTTCATTTTCAGCAAAGATAAAACGTGACGCTGTATAAGACACTTTGACGTTATAATCTATGCGCCGTAGGTTGATACAATGCATTGCATAAAATCTTACAATTTGTTTATTTATGCATATATATATCTGAAATTTGCTGTGTATATTACTAAGATATGTACTAAATAAAAGTGAAAATTTCAGAACGTAGTGATGTTTATTTTTCACACTAGACATCTTGTCCACGATTTTACGGGACAACCCTCGTACTTATAATACAATGTAGAAATCACAAGAGAATGACAAATAAGAATAACCTTTTATATAATATCAAGAGATACAAAAATATATTTGAGAAACGTTTCGTCTGACCTTAAGTGAAGGATATCAAGATACTAGCTAATTAATTTGTTAATTCATGTCAATTATTTTATGATATTAATAATGATTAGCATTAATTATTATATACATGTTCATATAAAGAGAGAGAGAGAGAGAGAGAGAGAGAGAGAGAGAGAGAGAGAGAGAGAGAGAGAGAGAGAGAGAGAGAGAGAGAGAGAGAGAGAGAGAGAGAGAGAGAGAGAGAGAGAGAGAGAGAGAGAGAGAGAGAGAGAGAGAGAGAGAGAGAGAGAGAGAGAGAGAGAGAGAGAGAGAGAGAGAGAGAGAGAGAGAGAGAGAGAGAGAGAGAGAGAGAGAGAGAGAGAGAGAGAGAGAGAGAGAGTCACAGTCACTTGTACTCGTATATCAAAAGAACTTAGGAAATTTAGGGAAAACTTTTTTATTAACAGATATTCACCTGTTTTAAATGCTACAATATTGATATTTTGTATCAGATATATATTTGTCTCAAAATATAAATAAGAAATATTTGAAAATAAAATAACGATTTGAATTGAAAGCAGAACTTTGTTCTCTATTATTGAAAATATAAAAATATACCGTCCTTTATCAAATAATTTCTTGCACAACTTTACATTATCAGTATGAGAAATCTTCTACTTCCAATTTCGCAAAGCATGATGTGACAAAAAGTTATCTGAGCTATACACTCACTGTAAAAAATAGATAAAATACCAGTATTGATTTAATCTGATGAAATTTTTTTTTTGCAAAAAAGAAATGAAGATTATGTAATTTTATGCAAGAAAACAACTTTCAAGATTTTCAATAGCCTTGAAAAGAAGCTCATGAGATTAAATGTGACACAATCTTAAAATGAATGCATCAGCTGCGACTAACATATTAAAAAAATGCTGATATATATATATATAAAAGAAAAAGTCGTATCGGAAATATAAACGTCAGTTCTTTCAGCTGTACGTAGTTGAGTTTATCATGGAGTACTCTTTATGCCTTTCTGTCTTTGTGACATTTGTCCTAATGTTTGAAGTAAATAGCTATGTTGAAGCTGTGCTCACTAATGCCAATACTTCGTCGAATTTAAATATTGATAGAGAGGGTGATCTGAACGAAAATTTAATCATTAAAGATTTGACTCAGAGGCTACAGCTCGTGAGAAATGTCATACAAGTTATAAATGATGTTCAAAAATTAAAGAATGATGTTAAGCGTCTGGAAACGGAAAATTCCCATCTCAAGGCGGAAATTAAAAACAAAACATACGGTAAGTACATGTGTAAACACATCATTCAAATATTGGATGAAAAGCATAAATATGTTTTTCAAATATAAGATTTTATATTTAATTTTAGTCATACAAGTGATGAGTGATGTTCAAACATTAGAAACTGAGGTACAAAGTCTCAAGACTGAATATTCCTTTTTCAAACAAGAATTTGGAAATCACTTGATCAACACAAAAAATGAAAGTACGTATATCTCATTTGTTCATTATAGCAGAAAAAATGTTTGATTTTTGTTTACAGCATACACTTTAATTAACAATAGAATATATGGAGATAACGAAAAGTTTTTAAGCTCAAACGTCCATTAAATATTACAAAATTTAAGCTGCTGAAAGCAAACATCGACCTAAAAAAATCAGAGGTGGGATCAGGTGCCATGGAGAAATAACGGAAACATCCGTCGACAATTCAATGTGTATAAAATAACCCATCAATTAGTAAGCAAAACGTCAGTCAGCATTTAACTTTAAAAATGATAAACTGTATATGCTGACAAGATCATTGTATCGACCATAGAACTTACTGATTAATTAACACTTGAACATACAGATTAATTTTAGATTCTAAAATCAAGTCATAAAAATTTGAAAAGATTGATTGATTGGTCGTTTTACTTTTTAACACTCTTCTCGAGAATTTTTCACTCATATGGAGACAACTCTGTGACCCGTGTCTTTCACTACTTTTGCTGTGCGATTGGTGAACAGTCACTACCTCATTCGGAACACTTCGGGCCTTTGACAGTGTTTTTCTGTGAAAGGACCGAGATGTTCCAGTTGTCACTACCTATGTTTACGTCTTAGTCTTAACGTGGTGTATCTAATGTGAATCGAATCCAGGGGCCTGTATTAGAAAAGAACATACGACTAAAATCAAAATTTAAATCTGTTATCAACTTTCTATTTTACATGAAATTAAAAATGGTTTTAATTTTTTTTAAAAGGAATGTAGAAGGATATTTTATGATAGCGCTTTTAAACATTATTTTTGCAAAATTAACGGTCAGATAAAGTTTTTTGTCCAGATCCAAGATTAGTTTGAAAGGGATGTCATTGAACAAAGAGTAAAAGTAAGTGTTTTTAATTACTCATTTACATTAGACAAAATTGCTAACGCATCACTTGCTAATTTTTAATTTGTGAATTGAACATTTGTCGGATCGGTGCTAGTGTATATAACATGCAATTATTTCCAAAATAGTGGGATTGACAAATGTCTTGGTATCATGAAAGGAACTTCGAATGACCTTCTTGTCCTAAAACCAATTTCCAACTGTGCACTGCGCACCATTTTTGCCCAGATAGGAAAACCTGTGAGCAAAGCATATTAAGAATTCAAATCCCCTAAACAGAGATGTAAACAGAACAAAGACGATAAAAAATGTAGCATGTGATTCTTAACCAAGCGCTTGGCACTTTGAAGTGAAAGTTGCGGGTCTTTCGGATGAAACCTTAAAATCCCAGTCTCCATGTCACAGTAGACGTTGGCATATGATACTAGTATAGATCCCTCGCTAGCTTAATGGACTTTTACGAGAAGCACTGACTTTTAAAGTTGATTGTTTACTTGGACATTTAAACCCGTATCATCTACGGAGGTACAGAATTGATAATGATAGGAAAACTTTTCTAGTGGCCATAGTGGTGTTAGGGGCACTTATACGTGAAGGCTTGGATTTGAGGGTAGGATGGTTAACGTTTTCTTCAAGGACAATTTATCTGTGCTTTGAAATAGCCCGTTATTTTCTGTAAATTAAATGTTGAGCTAAATATTCATATCGTAAAAGAGCTTCCGTACACTGTCCTAGTGTGAGAGTAATATTTCAAATGTAAAAGTCAGCGCTTCTCGTAAAAGTCCAATAGCCCTTCGTGGAGATTAAAGATTTACATTTGAAACCCTTTAGGGGTACAAATGGTCATGTATCTATATAAGTAAAAAATCATTGAGTGGAACTAGAACAATATAAATCAATCTTAACTGGAAAGCTAAATATAAGAATTATAACAAGACAGTCGAAATGGTTTCTGTTCCTAATGACTTCGTCATTTATAGGGTACATAAGTGTCGTAGTTCAGTATGTTTTACGCCAAATTAACATAATGTCCATCTAAAAATATACTAGTATGTGAATTAAACACATCATATTTAATATTTCAGGTTGCACACGAACACTGGAATGCCTGAATCAGAAACCACACGTTGCGTTTTATGCGTACTATTCTGGCAATTTTAAAGCTCTACCGACTGGAACGACATTAATCTTTGATTCAGTTGAGACAAACCTTGGCCGTGGCTACAATAGAGGAACCGGGGTATTCACTGCCCCGACTTCAGGCGTCTATGCCTTCACTTGGACCTTGCACGCAGCGGGATTACACGTCGCTGGGTCATCTGGGCGCAATTATGGTGAAATGAATGCGTCGATAAAACAAAATGGAGTCACAAAAGGTGCGATTGTTGCTGATACTGAAAAAAAGTACGATCAAGCTGCTAGTACCGGGTTTGTTGTTTTAAGTCTCAGTGCTGGAGACGAAATAAAAATTGTGTCTGATAAGTTTCACGGCCAAGGATCCATGTACAGCAACGATAAAACTGGTCGAACATCATTTTCAGGATTTCAGATCACATAATTTTTCTCTATTATTTTCATTACGTTAAGTATTAAACACTGTGGATATTGATAACTCAATTTGATTGAAGCATTTAACCACTTTTCATTTCTTTGATTAAACAAATCAAATAATGCTGTTATGTTTTTAATTTTTTTTTTCAACTAGACATGAAACCAAATACGCATGGGTGAAGGTGCATATGCATTTGTTTTGGAAGATGCGAATGAATTGTTCAGATATTAAAAAGATTTTTATCTTTTTAAAAATCTTTTTTAAAGCTTTTAACGAAAAGCAAAGTAATATTTATTTTAAAGGTTTTAATTTTGGTGTGCTTTTTGAGATATATATTATATGATACTAAAATGATACAGACGATGTGCATATTGCATTACTTTTAACTTTAGTGCCAAAAACGATATTGCTCAAGAACGTAATCATAATGTATCTGTTTTTGAGTTGTCAAGCATAGTTGCGACAAAGATGTCAAAATTTTTGTTTACTTGCACTGCGGATAATGATTTGTCATCCGCAAAATTATTCTGATGTAAAGCCGTCACGACAACTCAAGTCGGTAGAGAGCTCGGAAGGTCTTGAGTTAGAATTGCTTTTACTATTGAATGTATATTGTATACATGTTGTAGCAGTTCAACTGAATACTATATTAAAGAATACAAATTCACTAAAGATTCTTGAGAAAAATTCAGACTTATCACCACGATATGACATAATCAAATGCATCACAAGCATTTTTCCTAAATTTAAATCACAGGTCGATAATGCAAATCAGAAATTTAGGAAACACAGGTACTACATATAATAAATATATAAATTTGTACATACAATATAAATGTTTTGATTAGTAACGTATTTATAGAAATTGCAATAAGGTTTACGAGAACATCTGTATGCATTAATGATAATTTAGGAAAGATTTCTTTGATTGTTTTATTGTGGAGAGTCAAATGCGAAGAGCAAATAACACCTTTGAGGAGTATATCGATCAAACGAAAAATAATTAGACTACAAATACTTCAACTGAAGGGTTTGTTTATTTTCTATTTAAATTTTCCTAAATTACTTTGTTTAATTACTTGTATAATTATTTAATTGTTTTATTTTACTTTTATTTCCTCATCTGTTCATGCCATTTGGACAAGATAACAAACATGAAATTGTTATTGGTGATCCTTGCTTTGAAAATCCGTGCTCTTCAGACGTTCTAGAACGAGTATTTGTACAGAATAAAATTTTACCGAAATTTCCTAACTTTATTAGTTGGTGAGCAAGGGAAGATCTTGGACATTAAAGTAGGATGTGATGGTCTTCCCTACACTCTAGGGTGTAGAACATTTGACAGTGCATGTCGTGTTAGAGAATGAGAGATGGTGTAGTGCAGAAAAAATTGAAGAACACCAAATTTTATATGATATGTGTTCTCTGATCAGCGATTGCCTGAAGTATTTGTATATAATTATGGTACCCGATGAGTAAGTTTTCTTAACATGTGTCAACAAGATCTGTAAATTTTAATTTAATTTTAGAATATACGTTTTTTACACTATTTTAAGAAAAATACCTATTCATTTTCAGGATTAAGTAACAATAAAAAATAAATAAATTTTGATCAAGCAATAACACTGAGTAGAGGAAATTAAAAAATATATATATTAAGTGCAAGGAAAAATACTACTTTTACATGGAGCATGGAAATGCAGAGAAATAAAATAGAAATACAAGAAATATCTGGATTTTTTTTCTTAATTACAGAATACTATTATAATCTTTTTGAAGACTTGATGTACAATTGGATAAGAATATTTTGAAATGGATATGAAAAAAGCAGATTTTAGATTACTTTGGAACGTCATTTTAGTTAACTTGGCATTGATGATGGCCTTTCAAAGCCCGAAAGCATTGGCATCCTGTATGGCTGCAACCGTAATTTCGTTACCGTCAATTTTAAAAGTGTTTTTTTTTCCTTTGATATTTTTGTTTGCCCCATTTTATGTCATATCTTTATGCAAAGATCTGAGGTTTTTTTTACGGTTTACTATGATATTACAAATTTTCTCGGGGGTATAATTTTCCATGTATTCGAGGCATGAATAGACCCACCAATTTATGTCCACCACGAAATGTATAATATTACATATATAACTACAAAGCATTTCTTCACCAACGAATTCAAATCCCCACGAACCAACAGTTTTTACTCAAACCACGAAAATTTGACCCCATGAAAATATGTGATTTTACAGTATTTTAATAAGAATACCACAAAAGCAATTTTTTCAAATATTTTTCAAGTTGTCGCAGAAGAGCTCCATGCTCCTGTTGTATGCCAGAAAAGAGTTTAAAAGAAATAAAAGACTATCACCACCGGATTTTATAAATGGACGAAACATGTAAAGAATCCCAATTATAAATTTATGGTTGATGCCGTGTTCACTTAATGTCTTTCACTTCATGTGTTCCGGGCTGGAGTGAGGAGGAACAAGACCTCTGCAATCAGATCAGCAATCAATTCGCCCTGTTTTTTTTTTTTGGATTCTAGATGCCATTTTATATGGAGACTTTTATAAGAGATGCTTTTTTCGCATCTAGTGTCCTCCGGAAATTAGAAATTTTTACCGAGAATAATGAATCGTTCAGTATATCAGGAAACGATTCAAAAGGCATGGGAGGTGATTTTATTTTAGAATAAAAAATGTGGATTCTAGGATGTCTTCATGACGAGAAGACGTGGCTACATGTGTGTAGGAATAATAACCGACTGGAAACGGTATATATCAGGCTTGGGGTCAATTACTTTGAAATGTGATTAATTACTTTCAAATACATTGATAATTTTGTCAATTACTTGCAATTACAATTACATTGATTTTTTCAAATGTAATTAATTACTTTCAATTACTTTAAGTTTTAATTTTATGAAAAAAAAATGATTTTTTTTTAGATAAGATTTTTTCCATAGCGATCGAATTCAAAACTTTCATTAAGTGTTTTTGTTCTTGGGTATGATAGGGGTTCACACCTTGTCAAAATTAGACCTTAACCTTATAATGAGTGTGACACACTGTATAAACAAATTAAACATTATGAGACAATTAATTATTGTACAAACACAAGCCCATGCTAAACCAGTATGGTGTATGGCAAGATCTTTTTTGTTACTTTCTCAAATCCATATTTTTGAAGAAAATAAATAATATCTATCACAATTCCATTAATTATTTTCCATCTTAAAATGAATAGAATACAGATAAATCTAAAATGGGATGTAGTTAGTCTAATTGCTGTAAAACAAATTAACTATCTAAACAATCATTGCTATTTGCAAGTGGGAATAGGGAGAACTGAGATTTATAAAACATGGGAATAGGTAGTGTAAACCCACCAGTATAAAACTGTGTATCAGTATAAAACACCTTTTAAAATATATAAACTTTTATTTTGAAAAAAAAGTAATTGAAATGTAATTGAAAAGTAATATAAAATACATGACCTTTTTTTGAAATGTATTTAAATACATTCAATTACTTGTAATTGAAGGGTCGCTCAAATACAAATTACTTGCAATTACTTTGAAAAATGTAATTAATTACACTCAATTACAATTACTTTATTCAATTACCCCATCACTGGTATATATAAATTATTTCAAGTCTTTTTAAGATTCGAGAATGACTTGACCAATAATTAGGACTCCATTTATGAAATACTAGTATACATAAAGACAAAAAGTACATTATGCTCAGAAACATTACTTCTTTATTGCATGTTTAATTTGGGTCAATGGTAATTTAATTTAGTTCAAGATGATTTTGTTTAGGCATAAATATCAATACAAACAGCATGAATCCAATAATTGAAAATATTGCTTACTTGATTCACCCGGTGAAGTGATAAAGCCCAAATCAAAAGCACAATTAATGTAATGTAAATAATTTACAACACATATCTGTACATGTTTATTATATATTTAATTCAGTGCTAGATAGCATTTTGAATGAGTATTCTTGACATCAAAATCAATAGCACATTTATTCATTTCTTACTTTATAGGTTATATGTAACATCTATAAAAATAAGGAAAAAATGATTCGTTCTACGATACACAAATTCTTTGACAAGCGTATTTCCTTACTAATGATATTCAAAAAAGAGTGTAATAAATCTTTTTAAAATGTGTTATAGAATTGATGTATATTTAGCGAAGAAAATTAAAAGAAAATAGAAACAATTTTAAATATCTATAATGTTAAAAAATCCTGAAGGCATGAAACAGCCTTACAGGAATTATATTCATAACAGGCCTAAAATAAATAAAACCACAATTATGTTTCTTTTTTTAAAATCACACTAAAAAATTGACATATTCTAGTCAGGTTTACATTGGTATGACAATATTCTAGTCAAGTTTACATTGGTATGACCCTGTTGTTACCCGGTATGTTGACGGAACACTCGATCCACTTTTCATACCACATACTGGTCTGGCTTGGTCTATATCCTATCGCTCCGAACGAAAAATTCTCTCCCCTTGAACTTCGATAGAAACCTATAATATACATAGTCGATAATTACTATGATTATTAAATTCATGTGTAAAGCTGAAGACAATAAAGAAGGCTCTCTTTTTCTCAAATTGTTCAGAGTTTTTTTTCTAGAGAAATATATACAAAGAAGGAAATTGATTTGACAGTAGCTGTACTGAATAAATTAATTAAGACACGTCTGGAAATTTAAAAATTAATATCGAATATACTAATAAGTCTTTGTATTTCGACATTACATAGACTAACTTTTATTGTACTAAATACGAATAATATGACGATGGACATTTTCGTCACATTATATTACAAACTAGCTGCAATAATGTAGCCCTCTCCGATTTTTTATCTGATATTTTCTGGAGAGGGATCCAATTCCAAAGCATATCCGTAATGGTGCAAATGTTTTTTTAATACGGGCAATTGCAGGCAAAAGAAATTGTTTTTACATTCAACTTACTTCTAAAAAGGGCGAAATTTTTATTCACTGTCAACAACATAGCCCGCTAAACGCAAAAACCAGATAAAATAAATCTGCTTGTTTACAGTCCCTCTCATCAGAAGCCATGACGATTCTCACGTGATGCACTGAGACGCTCTTGAAAATTATAATTACTCAGTAAAGTAAATCTTCTGGTTTAATAAATGATTGTGCTTTAAAACACCACTAAACATTATAAATAAAACTATATCATTAGACTTTTTACGTAAACAGTGATTTTAATGCCTAAAATAAGGTAATTTCTATTGTGATCCGTTCCCTCTAGATCCATTCTCTCATTGGCTGTCCCAAAATAAAATCGACCAAGGTCAGTACATGGCGGATAAATTCAAGTTGTGATGTTGACACACACGAAAAATAACTGATATGTGGATTGTCCTATGTATATTTGGATTGATTTATGTTTTGCATAACGGCATCTTTGGAGTTCAAGTAAGAAATGTAAATTAAATAGCCTTTAACTGATTATTTAAGCCAAAAACGTGCGGGAGTGAATCGCTCCAGCATTTGCACCATTACGGAGATCCTCAGGAGTTGTCCAAAAAGGGAGAGGGCTACATTATTGCAAACTTGCCGTAGATCCTCTTTAAAGTTATGGTGGGTTCTTCGAAGAAATATTTTTAAATTTCAAATGTTTTTCTTACATCTCTAAAATGTTTTTTTTTACCTTGTGTGTTTGCTGATTTTTCGAAATCTCCAGGCAATTTACCCCTCTGTGTTGTCCCCAAAAGTTCACAGTGATCTTCGCCAGTACCACCCCCATCAGCGATGTTATAGTATTTACCCGTTAATATTTTGCTAAGAAACAGCTTGTACCTTAAAAGGTTTAAATCATGAAAAGAAATAATTAATTTCATCAGTACTTAAAATACTGTACCAGCATTTGATAATACGACGATATTTATTGTGATATGAAATTGTAGATTTAGATTTTTAAAATGTAGACATAGATTCAAATTACACGAGGACTCCCATGCCAATTTCAGCAGTCCTTGGCCACTGATGTTAAACACAAAGGCGGCTGCAGGAGATTTACATGTACATGCATATTTGGCATACCTAAGACAGACACAGAGACAGATGCACACGAAATTGGCATGCATCATCTCTATATGAGCGAAAAATTTCGAGAAAGACATTAAACAATAAACAGTTAATCAATTCACAAATATCCTTGTGTTTTGAATCAAAGTTTAAAAGAAATGTGTTTCCTCTCTCAGACTTTTATTTTAGACAGCAGCCATAAAAACCATGCATGAGTCCAGCAGATCTGCTAACTTCTACGGATTTTCAATGTAATATACATGCAAGACTGTGGGCGTTTAATGTATTCTTTCGGCAAGAATCATTCACATACAATTAAGGCACTAGACAAATCATTCAACTTAATAAGTAAACCAAACGTAACAATAATAATTATTTTTCTTATAATAATAATTCTTAAGGAACTCGATTTCAGGTGAAATATCCCTCTGCTCCAAATTTTACCATTAAAAAAAAAATACCATACTTTGATTTTCCTCAACACCAATAGCATTAGATTCAAATGGAAAATAGTTTGAAGTATGAAGCCTTGCTTACTTTTCAAAAACTAATAAAGATATTGCCAATAAAAAGTAGAAAACAACATCTGGACGATTGAACTTGACTGAATTGACTGTAAAATGGTTCTCATGACTAAAATTTGAAAAATCTGACATGAAAATTGTCTTCAGAAAGTTATCTTTCCTATCAGAGGGATATTACACCTTTAAAAAATCTTTACAAGACATTCATTATCATCAGATAAAATATGGACGGCATTTATACCTTGTAGAACTGCATGTCATCACACCGAGATAAGGTGTAGAAGAATAGTTTGTCTTCGTTACGTACTGGCGGCCACCTGCACATCCATTCCAGCTATTGTCATAGTCAAAACTATACAGCAACCAACAGTGGCTTGATTCTAAGCAGTCTATTGTCAAATGTAGAGAAAGTGCATTATTTTACAGTATATTACAATGAATCTAAGTTAATAATATACTTTTAAAAAAAGGCCGAGTCTAATTTTTTCTGCCATAGGGATTTTAAAAATTTTTTGAAAAATGATTTTTACTGTTATATTTATTGTTTTAAGATTAAAAAATCGAAAGTTTACCATCCCGATTTCTATGGGGACTATCTCAAAAGTTTTCAAATTTTACTACTGGACCCTAAGGGAATTTGTTAGAAAACCACCGCCAAATTATTACATTTTTTCCATATTTTTTTTTGTTTTCTGCCCTAGAGATTTCTTTTGCATTCAAGTAGATTAAAGTTATTGTGAAAAGACACCAAACTATGAAATTTCAAAAAAGTTCACCATCTAGGTTCCTCTAGGAAATAATTACATGTACTAAGTTTATTTTTCAAAGCGAAATACCTCTAAAATTGACATATCACGGTATAAATAAATATCAATGCAGATGAATTTTCAGCGCATGTGATTTTTTCGGTAAAGAATAGCAATGTTTAGCTTGCTAGTATGTTTCTTTGGATGTTGTGTCATCAGTTGTTTTGAAAAATATGCATGGACGTCTTGAACATACAGCGAGTCATGTGTCATTCTTTAGCCTCATGCATTGCTTACAAAATCCGAAAATGGTGACGTCTTTACAGCAATTTCAGCGTTTTTTTCCCCTAATTATTGTCGTAAAATCGCATTTTCTTACCAATAGGGGTTACAAATAATGTTGATTTAGCACTAAAATAAAAATATTTGGCAAAGGTGTATTGTCGCACAAATGACTGCAAGAAATTAAAAAAACTGCGCAAAGTCATGCGCACTCAAATTAGACGGCCTCGTTAAAAGCAATGCAGTTATTTACATTGTTATACAGTAGATCAGGGGGTAATTTTTATCTCAAACTGAAAGTAGAAGGTGTAAGATATTAAATATTGAGTCCATTAACTGAGTGTAGAGTGTATTACAAACATTGAGCATGGCGTTTTGAAAGAAGATCCAGGATGTTGACCCGAGAAGTGATATTTTGTAAGTCTCCCTTCATCTTCAGTGTGGCCTTGTTGTAGTTGGCTAACATTCTTTGTTTCAGACTGTCTTCTTTCACTATCATTGTGCAGGATACCCAGTCTGTCCTGAATCTTTTCATGCTCTGATACTAAATCTTTCACGATCTTTTCTGCAATTAGTATGAATGTTATGAAAAAAGTAAAATACTCAAAGATTTTGTAGCATTTTATCTAGGTAAATTAAAACATAATTCTAAAATCATTTATTTTCTATAAAATACTTGATTCTGATTGGATAAAAAATTCTTTTGATAACTGCATCAATAAAATCTACAGTTCGCTTGCACTAAGCAGTCGGAACTACTTTGGCTGTCTTCAGTCTTTATGCATGTATATTTCCCGCTTCCAGATTACTTTTTGAAGGAATAAATAAATAGTTTTACTTTAATAGATATTTTCCTGAATTTCAAAACCTGTCTGTTACGTTCCTGACTTAGCCTATTTCCTACTTTCGTTTCTTTTTGAATTATCCCCCTTTGCTAAACAAACCAAAATCGTCTGCATTGACAACAATACAGTTATGGGAAAGAATGAAGGAAATCAGCAAACTTATGTTAAAAGAATGTCTTTGAGATAACTGGTAGGAACAATAGAACGGTAAAGAAATGTTTTCATGCCACTAAAGCTGGAAAAATGCCGTTAAATGTGTTAATTCTTAGGAAACCAATGATCGAGAAAAACGACACGGCATGAATGAGACGGAATCCTTTACAGTCGGCAACAGAATCTTTAAGATTTTACAGCATTGACAGGTTGAAATACGTATTTATATGTTCAAAGTGAAATTCAGATGAAAAGGAACGAATAGAAAATCCAAAATTTCTGTGAAATAGAAGTAGAAACTGTTAGGATATTTGAGTAGCTTCCCTTTATATTTACAGACTTACAGGGAGGAATATACCCATTGGGGTTTAGTAAAATATAATAACACAACTGGTAATTTTTTTTTGTGTTAAATAACTGTTAATTGTTGTTTGAGAAGATTGGTAGTGACACGACAATATTTGAGAACTTGTTTTTTTTTCGTTAGGCCTAGGAAGTAGGCTGAGCCATTTTGAATTTCAGCAACGTTAACGTTGTTGTGATATATTCATACGCACTGCTTTTGATGCGTAAATTTCATAGTAAAGTAAAAGAAAATTTTATTTTATTTATTTAAAAATCATAATTAAATGATATGAAATGAATGTGATATTTTTTTCCTTGATCGAAGTATCAAAGAAAAAATTTGAACGGAAAACGTTTTCATCAATGCGCTACGCGCATTAATGACGTTTTCCGTCCAAATTTTTTCTTTGATACTTCGATAAAGGAAAAAAATATTATATTCATTTCTTAAGTGATCAATAAAATCTTTTTGTACCATCAGATTTAGCATAGGACTAAAAATAAAAAGGATAACTAGGAGTTGTCTGAATAAACATTTAGTATTGCGCTGAGAACAATGATGCAGAATGTACAGAATTACCTATTTAAATGTGGAATGGATACTTTTTGACAAATTAATAAAAATAGACATTTTTTGAATATTGGTTGCATTAAGGAGGAACAGGACCTCTCGCTGAAAAAATTCCTGTCAATGAATTTTTTTTCGTATTTTTTATATTACTAATTTAATATGTACTTAACATTTTAAAACGGTCCTGTCATGGGAATTCTTGACTTATTTAAAAGATATTGACCCACAAATACCGCCCTGTTTAGAGTTTGTATGGCGTTTAGATACTTCATGTTTACGGGCCAATAACAGAGTCCATAATACGAATTTTTACGCACAAACGATAAATATGATAGATAACACTATATACTCAAATATTTCAGAATATTCATAGTGTTTAAATTATATGAAAGCAATTGTTTTAATTTTATATAGTATTCGGGTGAGGTAATTTCTGCATTTTTCAAGGCAGCTTCAACGACAAAAACCTCATTTGGAAAAAAACAATTCTGTCAATAAATATTTTTAAATTTATGATTAAATGTCAGTCCTTCATCGTAATTATTTACTGCATAGATGTTACAGGGTGAAGCTTACCTCAATATCGCACAGGACATTGTTGAATTAGACGTAAGCATGATAAAAACGCTTCACGTTTGTATTTTCCGAATGCAGGGAATCAATTGTGCCGTCACACATTAACATAAACATTCAAATTTATCTAAATAGAGAGAATCTCTGCTACTAAACACGAAAAAGTATTAATTAAAAAATCTGCTTCAGAAATTTATCACTATACATTGACTGTGACCTGTTTATTATGAAATAAAACTGATCATGACGGTGTGTCTACTTGATCTCGCTGCACTGAGAATTCAAACACTACGTCTTTGACGTCACTGACGTCAGACTGCAGGATAAAGAGAAACAAATGTGTGGACTGAGCAACTTCACAATTATATCTAAATGATGGCAAGATCTTTAAAAATTTTATCAATAATAATTTCTAAAATTAAATGTTTAAAAACAATTTTAGAATTTAGAATAAAATTATACAAGAACTTTTGATTTTAACAACGTTTAACATGTATATCATCACCGATTATGAAGTAATATGTCTTTATAGTCATGTGACATGTGCCCTGTCTCCCCTTAAATTTATACATTATATTATGTGACTATTGAGATTTAATGTATGGGAGACGACGACTATCTAAGTTTTTGGAACTTGTGTCCCATCCCTTTGACATGTTGTCAATAAAATATGTTCAAAACAAAACAACATTTCCACATACCCTGGATACCGTACTTAGCATTGATTTTAACGGTATCATTTCGGAGATTTCCTACAGAGTTATTAAGGTTGAGTAGGTAATTCCATACGTTTACTATTCTTTCCGATGTGTCATTATGGTTCTGTTCTGTTTCACTTAACGCCTTTTTATATTCAAGTTGTGCGTTTTCTATCCTTTCAGAGGTATCATTATGGAAAAATTTCAATTTCTTCTCTATTTCACTAAACATTGTTTTATATTCATGCTGTACGTTTATTATCCTTTGAGATGCGTTATTTTGGTTAAATTTCATAATCTGTTCTATTTCATTCAACGTTTTATTGTGCTCATGCTGTACGTTTAATATACTTTCGGATGTATCGTTGTGGTCATGTTTCATCTGTTCTATTTCATTCAACATTTTATAATCTTCATGTCGTAGGTCATCGGTACTTTTGCTTATTTCTTCTGCGTTGGTTTTCATGGCTGCCATTTCCTTTTTTACGTTTATCATATCGTTGACCAATGAATACACTTGTTTCAGCAATGAAAGCCTTATCACCGTTTCTTGATTTATCTGGTTCTGCAGATTGTTAACGACAATTTTATTTGATTCGCACGAGGATATTACACTAATGCCATCTTCTGCCTTTTTATCTGTCAGTGGCGAGTGGGAATCTACCACGACAAATATTAATATCCATAGATATGCACTATGCAAAGAAACCATTGTTCAAATATTAGCAACTGACATTCGTAAACTTTAAAATTAAATGTCCTTCCAAACACCATATGCAAAATGTTGATCTAGACACAAGTTGCATATATTTATATTAGTATTTTATTTGCGTATAGAAGGTAGAAAAAGTTCAGAGATAATCAAAACAACTCAGATGCTTATGACACTTTGCATCGTAAGTACTTACTTGTTATATTCAAGAGCAAAATAAACTATATACTTCAGGATTTGTGTACCAGCTTGTATTAAATAAGAAGCAATTTGACCAATCATCGTAGCTCTCTTTGATCTACACTTCCTACTTAAATCAAATTTAATTAGGGTATCATTTTTATCTTTCATTTTTATGTGTAATTTTGGATCACATGCCAGCCTATTCATATGGACTTAAGAAGATCAACATGATCAAAACAGACTAAAACTAAAAAAAACACCTAATAAAGTATTTTGTAATG